TATATATATATATATATATATATATATAGGGCAAAGCGCGATCGGGACCTCCCATGCAGACCCCTAGAAATGACAATGATAAATGTTGGGACAGGGCTTCTCTGCGATCCTCTGAATTTTTTGTTCCAAACACCATTGTTGAAACTGGCCCTCCCTGCCTTTATTGTTGTTATTTCTGAAAGAGTTCACATGTCTAACACTAATATCTAGTTTAAGGTTGTGACTAATATTTTATTGCATATATGATGGAGAACACAGTACATTTTCCTATTGAGGAGAGCACTTGTAATATTGTCTGTTGTTTTGATCTGAATAGAAATGGGATATGTTTTCAAAAGCATTTGTGATCAAATGGTTTTCCCTGATATCCTATTACATACATAACTAGAGCCCATTGAGACCAATTACTGAACAAAGTCCTTTTCATATTTTTAGCATTTTAGGCAATTAGTGATACCCTGCATCAATTCAGCCGTATAAAGGCTGCAACTGCACGGGTACTGTTTGGACAATAAAAACCATTTATTATAATTACAATTCCTGAGAATAAACTGTGATATGAGTAAATCCCATGTTTTGATAAAATTCTTCAAACCCTAGAGGACATGTCCAACAGATATTCAATAGTCAAGCTTGGGTACAATTTCTTTGCAAAAGGTAGGATCTAACAAAAACAGTTGATTTGAATATCAAACTTGGATGTCGTGAAGATACCGACATTTTCGCACTTCTACAGTTTTTGTTATATAAATAATAAATTACATAACAGAATGACCCGCAAATCATTATTGAAACATGTTGTCCTGACAGTTCTATGAGTGCACACATTTGATCTACCCAACAAACTACATGTAATTCTAAACATTACACTTTTATTTACAGTAGCGTGATTGTACCAGTTGAAATATTAATCTTTTGTCAATGTTGGTGGAAGTTCTTGTCCACAACATGCAGCATACAAGAACTTAATCTGTTTTTATGCTTCAGTCAGGTGCAACTTTATTGCAAAACAAACATAATTCAAGCCCAAAAATTAATACATGTACTAAGTCTTTCAATAATTGTGAAATATTAAATTAACTTATCCATGGCGCAGAATGTTCCTATAAGTTTTAAATCCATGAAAGGTAATATGCCATATTTTGTAATGCAATAATTAATACAAAGTTTGACAATCATCTAGCTGAAATTTCAAATGCTTAAAACATATATGTAGGTCAAACACAAGATCATTTATGATATGCTATTGTGCACATAATTTGCAAAAAAAAAGGCATTGATATGATAGGCATTTCAAAAACCTTTTTAAACAATTTCAACATTTGAGTGATACACATGATATACGAAATTATAGATTA